TATTTTAAGAAAATGGAGTAATAAGCATATGAAAGAACGTTTTTAAAACGTTATCATTAGTAAAACGCTTCTGCTGTATTAGTAGGATACTTTTATTTCAACGAAAGGTTGCACTCTTCGATGCAGTACATGCAGTCATTTTTAACAAGCTGATACTGAACATCAAGGTTGTACATGGCAAGTTTATCATCACAGGCCAGATTTAATGACCGGATTTTGTCGATATCAAAAAAAAGACCTTGAGTCGCGGCGTTTTTTGGATGACACTTTGAAATTTTGTTTAGGCAGTTTAAGTGTGAAGGAAACGGTTACCTTTCTGTCGCGACAAATTGGTCATTTTATCAAGTTGCTCACGCTACCAAAAAACGCGAGACCTTTGTCACTGTATTTATTTTTCAACAATTTTTCTTCAATCTTTGCTATTTGTTCAATGTTTTGATTTCGCCTCCGTCTTTTCTGTCGTTGGAGAATCTGGATAGTTATTGGACATTCCGTACGATTGGAAGCCTTCTTCTGACTTTTTTCCGCGATTTTGGTTTTGGATTTTTCTATGTCGTTGAGACTTTTTAAAATTCTCTCAAGGTTTTGCACTACTTCTTTCCTATCAAACATGACATGTTAACTTGGTTCTTGAGGGTCCCTATTCGCATTTCTCGTGAACCTAAGAAGACGCTGAGTGAACCGCTTGTTTAGCATTTTGGTTAATTGTCAGCTTTCCATTCAAGCTGAGAGCGTTTTAAATGATAATGAACGCCGGAATTTTCTGTTACTTGTTGCATCTCGTATAAAAATACTGCAACCTTAAGTCCTGTTAGTAGTCTATCCACATATAACCTTAACCGTTGCATTGTAACGGTTAATAGTCACTCTTTTTGAGTTATTTACGGTTTCAAGTATGGTTTTTGCTCTAACAAACTTTTTCTTTTCTAAAACCTGTAACTGTTCTAAAATACTTTCAGTCTGTTTATCGTTTCTATCTTTTAATACTTCATTTTTATCACGTTCGAGCTCTTTTTTTCATCTCCCGTTAACAGTTTAAGCTGACCTTGTTGGGGTTCAGCTTTTTCCGTAAAAGTTATCTTCGTTGCAGTATTCAAGGTAGGATGGTTGATTGTTTTTATTTTCAATACTTAAGCACGTGGTTGCTCTCTTACATATAAGCGTTTCGGAATTAGAAGGTATTCTTCAGCAGTCATATTTGAGTTACTTAAACTAATTAAAGTATTTGTCGCACTGGATAAACTTTTCTTTACTCAAAAAAAATTGGACACTTTTTCACAAAACTGATTTTTGGAGTGACTTGTATGCTGCCTCAAAACGTTCAATACTTGCATGCTTAACGGCTACGGTACCATTGACTACATTGAGCAAACATTGGCAAATAAGTGTTATGATCTCACAAATTGAAGTTTTTCGAATTAATCGTCTTAGCTGGTCAGGTTTCAGTTGTACCATATGCCGCAGAATAGATATGTTTTTCTTTTTCATTTGCGATTGGAGTTGTTTCTGCTTTCGATAAGGGCAAATAAAAACTGTTGGCTCAAGTTGTGTATTATTTGAACAAAATCTCAAACAATCTGATGTGCGGGGTTCCAAGTCGATTAGAAGATGTCCAAAAGAGTCTGTGTTAAATTACTCGTAACAGCGTCTCAAAATTTTCTCAACACGTCTAATGTAGACAACTCTTCTCCGGAAATTATTATCCGGTTCGTTCTCTGAAGAATTTGGTTGCTGCAATCAATACGCTCTATTCCCTTTAATGGATTTTTTATATCACCCTCTGGAGTAGTCCATGCACAAAACTTTGAATTTGCTGATGGATATGTCCCCAGTTTTCTAATGTATCGCCGTTGTTCGTTTTTTAACCAATCATAGAAAACCTTGCTTTTCTTTAGGTCTCAATGATTTCTGGAATTGGAATGAAGTATTTCTCTATTGCAACTTGGATTGTTTTTTTTAAACAAAATTTCTCAACCTGAGGACAACCCAAATCACCTAGGTTATCAATTTTTGGTCCAAGTATTTGCCCAAAAATGCTGTCTTTTCCTTTAGCTTACAAAACGGCATTAGGATTTCTCAACACAAATTTTTGAAGTACAGGATTTGAGTGTATCTAAAGGTAATCACTTTTTTTACCAAAGGAGACCGTGTAAATATATTTTTTAACCAGTTGTAAGCTTTTTGTTCGAGTTTTGGTAGTATATTAAAATAAACTGGAGGTAAAAAAATGAGTCGGTCGCTGTAGTCTTAAATTGTTATTGCTGATCATTTATCTACAAAGGCGTTTTTCTTGTAACGAAAGCCTTCTACGTCAATCACATCTGATCTCTCGCTTAGCATTCTAATTATTGATAAACTTCTGGTTTATTCAAATTAACGAAAAGGCAGGAAGCTTTTCCATTCAAATAACTCATAAAGCTTTTGTAACAGTTTCTGGGCAACATGTAACAGTATGTTGGACCCTCTTGGTAAAACTTGGGGATAAATCCGTCTGCATTGTGCAAACTCGCGTGCAATCGTAAAAGTTTTCAAGTATTTGTCCAAGGAAGAGTTATCAATAACAGTCAAGCCACCATAAGGTCTCAAGTTTAATTAAATACCGTAGTTAAGGTTGTCAAAACTAAGAAAAAACAGAGAACACGCAGCCAGAAAACAGTTTCGTTAGTTAAAATTATCTGCATAAGTTTGTTTCAAAGACGAATAAATTTCGTGAAGTAATTATAAATCATTGGGAGTAACCATGCTTTTTGCAATTTCATTTATAATTTTCTCCATTACCTCTCCAACCTGCTAATTTTTAGGACAGTGGAAAAAAAAGACATTGCAAATACCGTTTAGACACATTAGGATAACGATGGTAAATAATCAATTAAACCACCGTAAGTTTTTTGTATTTTGATAGCTTGTTGAAACGTAGACCGATTTTTCTCTCCAAGTCTTTATCAACCCATTTGAGTTAGTCAATTGAATGGTGGAACACGTTTTCATTATCAGCAATAATTGGTTTGCTCACAGTACCAGACTTTTGTTTTGTTGAAATGCACGAAGTGATTTGTTGAAGCTCATTCAATTAAAGCTGATCTTTGAAAATAATCTCGTATTCTTTCTTTGAAAAATCTTTTGCCCTCTCAAGAAACACGACGTAAAGTTTATTAAAGACTTTGAATTTTTTTTTCCGTGAGTCAAAACACTATTAATTGTAAATGTTCATCAATATCTTCAGTACACCAAGTTCCCTCTAACTTTTTTCTTAATTCAAAGTTTGACGAAATTAGCGTTTGGTATTTTTTGCCCAGGAACGGACGCCGCCTTCGGAGAGTTAATATGTACCATAATTGGAGAGTAATTATGTACCTTTGGCGAATTTTTTTAATGTACCATAAAAGTCAGCTCCACGTTCACTAACAAATTTCAACTAGGTCGAAAGTTCGTTCGCCTGAAACAAATATAAAAAATTTAATTGGATTCATACAATTAGCCAGGAACAAGAATTAGGACCCCAAAACTGGCTTTGTATCGTGTCCCTTGTTGTTAAGCTAAGCTTAGGAAGATCCTGAGAAGGGGGTCTTTTGCTTTTTGAGTGGAAATTTCTTTCATTTACAAAGTTCTAGGATGAGGGTGCTCCAAAAAATTAAGGACCCCTTTCCTAGGATTTTGCTTTTCATGAAGACCCACCCCCTTAGGAAGGAATCCCATAGGATCCGGGACACGATACAATACTACTAAAACCAAATAAATATTTCCAAAAAAAAATAAAAACAATTGTTTTTGGAAAACCTCCTCCTATTTTAAGAAAGCGGAATAATAAGCATATGAAAGAACGCTTTTAGAACCTGGTCCACTTACTTTTTATTCAATTTTAAACTTGTGATCATAAAAAAATTGGAGTGTGTTCATAGTCAAACTTCTCTATAGTGTTTTTCTGGCGCTCAGAATAAATGTTCGTGAAAAATTTTCATAGTAAGTTATTCTTGCAAGATTTCCTCACTTTTGCAAGATCTTGCAAGATAAACTCCATCTTGCAAAATCTTGCAGGAAAACCTTTCTTGATCGACTAGGGCTTTCTGCTATTTTACCAAATATACTAAATCAGTAAACAAGTTCCAAAGTTTTTTATGATCCAGTTTATTACTATCAAACTTTTTACTTAAACATGAAGATTTTTGATGAATAAATAGGTACTCATTTCACATCAAAACAATATGTAATAGTTATTTATGAGTCTCTGTCACTCAACTGTTTTCGAGTCGATCGGAGTTACGCTCAAAAGAATGATTTTAAATTATGTACTCTCGTATTTCTTATGCATTTGAACTTAAGCAGAGTAAGTTTTTCGATACCTACCTTATCATATTACGATATACTACGGGTATAACACAGACCATAGATTTTAGGCCGCGGAACTAACGTTGGTGTGACCGAAGAACTCGAAAAATTAGACACGGGCAGCTGGGTCATGTTGCTTTGCCCTCAAGAATCTTTTGACTAATTTTTCCACCTTACCACGATTTTTTTGATTATGTGGCTACTTAGTATAGTTGGTTTGGACGCAGTGGGCTAAAGTCTGACTCTCCGAAAGTCCTAAGGTGATGAACTTTGCGACCATATACCGCTAATAATTGTTCGTCCGCGCAGCGACTAATCTTTGAACGCCACAAGTAACTTATCTCGACCATCGCGACTGAGATACGCTATTTCCAGACTCAGTCGGCGATTAATTTTTTGGCCATTGAGACCGAGATACGATATTTCCAGAATTTGTCCGCCAATTAAAACCCTGTCCAGACTATGGATTTTTGGTCCCGGAATTAAAATTTCCGCGACCGAAAATTAGTCGAAAAAAAGTCGAAAATTAGTCGCTGAGCTCCTTCCGGGTCCGACGTTTCGCTGAGTCAAGAGCAGAATTATTCAGAACGTTGTCCAATATTTTTGTTTCTGGTATGCCCAATAATTTTTTGTCCAATATAAGGTTTCTAGTTTGTGTTTTGTGCTGTGTGTAGCGACACTTCAGTGTGTTCGCGATCAGCTTCCCCACCCAGGAAGCTCTGACCACCATCTACAGCAGCATCCTCTCCCACCACCTGCACTCGCAACAGGCCACTCCCAATGTGACCAAACTGGCCCCCATTCTAGTCAACAGCAGCCTCAACCTCCATACCAGAGTCACCAGCTGCTTCCTCCCCACAGCTCTAAAGTTCCACTACGTCTTCAACCTCAGAGACCTATCCAACATATTCCAGGCTAGTACTACCACCAAATTTCACACCCAACGAACCCTCCCACACGCTCAACCGTGTCATGGCTTTCAAAACGACTGCAGGCTATTAGCCTATACCTTCTATTGCTCTTAACTGTTACAGGGTAGTTCAAGTGTCTCTACGCTTAGTTGTGACCTCAGAAATGATGCCAACTAAAGTATGAGTTCAATTTACTAGGGTTAAAAAAACTGTTAGGGCGCATAGAAAATGAGAAGAAACCAAATCTGAAACTATCAAAAACTATTCTTGAAACTTTTTCAATACAATCGATAGCGCCGATCTTGGAAAGCTACCCACAATTGCTCAACTTCTATTTTTAGATGCCTTTTTTCTAGCTCGAAGTTAGCTCGAAGTTGTCAATTTCAAACTATATCAAGTTTGTTTTGATGAGTTAATTTTTTTGATAATATTCTACATTTCATATATGCTTAAGGGGGAGCTTAATTGAATGCATGATTTTGCTATTGTTGGTATTTTATTCCCATATATATGTTGTCTGTCTAAATAGTTTTTTAAAAACTTTTTTCAACTGTTTTCCTTGTTCAGGGCATTCTGTTCTCGACGAAAGAGAGCGTGCGGAGTTCGCAGGAGTTCGTGCGTCTTTGGATGCACGAGTGCAGGAGAGTGTACAGGGACAAGTTGGTGGACACGAAGGACCTCAATACTTACGAGCGAGTGGAGAACGAGATACTCAATAAAGCATTCGAGGTCAGTCAGCCATTCTATCATTTATTTGCTTCTTTCTGTCCTTCACTATAGTCAATTGGCCGGCCTCTGTTCTCAACACAGCACTTTTCTCAAAAAGTTAGGCGAACGCGGTCTCAAATAATTGGTTTTTAAATAATCAGTTACTGTAAACATTTCTGTACTGATTTTAGACACTTTGCTTTTTAAAATGTTAGCTAGAATTAAAAGGTAGCTAGCCAATTTGTTGTTTTGTTCATAGAAAGGGGGAGAAAACCAGGATAACCTGCCGCGAGATCTCAACTTGGAGGAGCTTAAAGTGACGCCCCTAATTTACTCCCACTTCGCACATGGTCTAGGAGAGACCCAGTATTTACGCATAGAGAGCTGGGATGCTCTCAACAGGATATTGTCGGAGGCCCTGGTCAATTACAACGAAGTGAACGCTGTAATGAATCTGGTTCTTTTCGAAGATGCTATGCAGCACGTGTACGTGAAATGTAAAATAAATTAAGGATAGCCGGTTGTTTTGCATTTTTTAAAATAATTGATGCGTAGTTTGAACTGGTTTGCGTGTTTGTGTTAGCTGTTTTTGCGGTTTGGTTGAAAAAAATATAGAAAGAAATTTGAATTTTTTTTGATTTGTCGAATTTGTCTAACTTTGAATATGCCTAAATTCTAGGATTTTGTTTATATCTTCGAACAATTTCGATATGATAGGATATGAAGAGAAATTTAGAATGTACGTATTTTTGAGGTTGTTTTTTCAAAAAAATGCTAATTCGAAAAATGAATAGAAAGCAAAAGAATCACAACAATGTTCAATTTTCAAATAAATTTTTGCATAACTTTTTCGATTTTTTTCTCGGGAATATGAAAACTAAAAAACTCAAACCATTTGCCAAACCGCCCACACCGCTAACGCAAACGTGCAAACCACTTCAAATTGCGCACTACACAACCAAATAATTCCACTTCTGTAAAGACAACCCGGAGTGACAAAAATGTATGGAAAATAATTGTCACATAAAAATCTACAGATTAACATCATCATAGAATCGATTCATCTACAACCTTTTTGCGATCAAAATCGACTCTATTCAAATAGAATCGATTGTTTTATTACAAAAAAGTGGATTTTTTGCCAGCTTTTTATTCTTTTCTTTAAAACAAATAGATAACCAGTAAGTAGTCAATATATAATCTGTAGATAATCTTCATATAAAATGTTTGAAAATCTGGTTAAAACTGATTTTTTTGATTCAAAAACTAGAGGTTTGTAACAATTTCATTTCTGACTTTCTAAAACAAAAGTAAACCATTGTTTTTTGCACAACTTTTGCCAAAAGTGTGTGAAAAGGAAAAGTCTACCTCGATGACATTTTGAGCTGAACTCACTTGAGGAGAAGTAATAACCGCAAACTAGACGTAGAAGATTTTGCAACTTGAGGTTCCTGCGATTAGAAAACAACTTTTATCCAAAACTTTTTTAAAATCCGTATACTTTTTTCAATGATTGCAATTTTTTTCAGTGCAATTTAAAAAAAAACTTAAATTATCAACACAGAACAATAAAATTCATATATTTTGCTTATAGTCTGTTTATGATCTGTATACAATCAGTATATGAAATGTAAGCAATTTGAGTAAAATATGCATGAAATTTCATGCAAAAAAAAAATCAAGAAAATTTCGATAATTATTACAAAATGAAGATAATCAGTATAAAGTTTTGCAAAACAAAGTGCCATATAATCGATAATTAAAAGAATGTAATCAAATTTTTTTCTAATTAAATTTAAAACATCTGAAATCTGTAGAATTTTTTATTGATAAATCATTTTTATCCATTTATGTCTCTGCGCGAAATACCAACACTTTCTGCTTTAACTTAAATTGAATTTGGTTTTTATATTTTTAGTCTGAGTTTTATGTTGTGACCATTGAAATTAGGGAGGAACCTAGTACTAGCTTTTTATCTTTTTTTTGTTTCCAGGCAAAATCAGGTACTGCAAACAATAATCGGAATAAGCCTAGTGACATATCTTTTCACATCTCTTTAAATTGCAATGTAATCAACAAAAAATATTTTCGAAATAAATGTTTCATTTTTGTCCAAATTTGACTGAGTAACGCGATCAAGTAACGCTCCTTAAATGGAATTTTTTTTTTTTTGGATTTCAGGAAATTTTTTTTATTTCAATGAAAAAAAACTCGGTTTGGACATTAATTTAGGGCTTGTTTGGCAATAAAGGTATTATTAAACTCAATTTAGCAATATTTTACAAAGAAATAGAAAAAATTTTCAAAACTTTTATAAGTTTATTTTGTTTCGTTTTGTTTTTGATTCATTTTTGGAGACAAGTAATCAAATAATGTCGATCTGCCTACTTTTCTAATTTTTTAAGCCCTTCCTTAGTTCTCAATCCACACCACCCACTGAAATCGGCACTAGTTTGAAAAGAAATAAAAAGACTTAATTTTTTTTCTAATTTTTAGTTATCAATATGGTTGGGACATTTTGTGCTACTTTCACACCACCCGCATATCCTTGTTTGATACTGCATTTTGTTTATGCTTGAAGAGCGGTTTTTTCTTAAAATGGCATACATGTTTAGGTCTAATGTTACCCTTAAGAAGCAAATTTATCATAAACTTCAAGGTTATCAACAACGTAGTTTTTGCATCTTGAATCTTTCTCCCTAGTCCGATTTGAGGGTTTTGGGAAAAAAAGTTTCCTAAGGTTTTGGAAATAAAAGGTTTTGACTCGTTAGGTTAGTGTAACATAAATAATTATGTTTTCTTATTGTGTACATTATGTGTCCTACCCAATACCCAAGATAAAAAAGAAAGAATATATTGATATGCCTAGATACATTTTTTTTGTTTGAAACCCATACTATGATATTTTTTTCTGTGTAGTCTCCCTCAGCAACAAAACTTATTTGAATTTGGAATTACGCACTAGTTTCTTAAGAGCTATAGCATTTGATTTGAATTCGTTAAAATTTAGAATTGGCAATTTAAAATTTTCTTGTCGGTCGGCGTCAAAGGTGATATATCACCTTTGACGCCGACCGACAAGAAAATTTTAAATTGCCAATTCTTTTTTGGACTTTCAAGTTTTTTTGGACTTTCAAGTTTTTG